GACCCGACGCTGGCGGCGGGAGTCCTGATGAAATCTGCCAGGGCTTGTGCCACCAGCAAAGAGGCCGATCTGGCTTGTAGACAGGGAAACTCCCGGGGAATGCGAGCTGGGGACTATGGCAGAACCTTCCTTGCAGCCTCCTTCCTCAAATAGCACCTTCTGCTGCCTCTGGGGTTTAGGAGCCTCCGTGAGCTCCCAGCACCACCTGTTTCACCCCGGCTAGGATGGCGCTTAGCCTGATTCTCCGCTCGCCTCCCCCCCCCCTGGTTCTCACCTGGGCAAAGTGGGTGGAAAATGCATCTTGCTCAGCCTCTTCCACTCACCCTGGTGAAGAATCAGACCCTGAGGTTCCCTGTCAGCCCAAGAGGCACGTTGCTGCTCTTTGGCCTCTTGGCTGAGCAAAGTCCCCCTTCTGGAGCTCTCTTCTGCAGGGGGCAACCTTACCTATTGCCCTAAGTGTTAATCAGTCACAGAGCAAATGGCTGTGACCCTGGGTCCCGGCGACAGCACCTGCCCAGTCAGCGAGTCGATCGAGCTAAGATCTGCTTGTCTCAGCGGTTTCCCCCTCTTGGAGTTGGCCAGCCCGTCCCTGCAGGAGCTAGTTTAGTTGGTTCTGTATTAATCCTCCGCTGGGGTGGATTAGGAACTTGGGTTTCAAATCGAGTGACATTCAGTTCTCGTTAAACGGGTGTGTAACAGGGCTGTGGGTCAGTAATTGAGTGTGTGTGTATCCAGGTGTGTCAGAGGCAATGGCTTCCAAGAGTCTGAGCCAAAGCTGATTGAAGTATTATTTTAATAACCTCACTAAATGAAATTTCTAGGCAATTGGTTTAAAACAAACCAAAGGAAGTTCTTCATGCAATGCACCGTCAACCTGTGGAACTCCTTGCCAGAGGGTGTTGTGAAGGGCAAAACTTCAATAGAGTTAAAAAAAGAATGAGAGAAATTCATGGAGGATTGGTCCATCGATTGCTGGGCAGGGATGGTGTTCCTGGCCTGTCAGAAGCTGGGAATGGGTGACAGGAGAGGGATCACTTGATGGTACTTGTTCGGTTCCCTCCCTCTGGGGCACCTGGTGTTGGCCGCTGTGGGCAGGCAGGACGCTGGGCTGGATGGGCCTTTGGGCTGACCCAGTGCGGCTGGACGGACTCCTGTGGATGTGAGTGGTTTTGATCACGCTCCGAGTCAAAAGCCAAACCGGGCGCTGGTGGGAGGCTGCGGGAGAGGCGGCCCGGCTTCTGGGAAGGGAACTCCTGCCTCGCCGACCCCCGAGAGTGCTGGGAGGGGGTCAGCAAACGTGCACAAGGGGGATCCAGTGGGCTTAGATCCCCAGAAAGCCTTTGGCAAGGTCCCTCCCCGAAGACTCTTAAGTAAACGGTCATGGGAGGAGAGGGAAGGGCCTTGCGTGGATTGGTAACTGGTTAAAAGACAGGTGGTAAAGGGTAGGACTGAATGGGAAGTTTCCCGAGTGTAGAGAGGTAACTAGTGGGGTCCCCCAAGGGTCCGTCCTGGGCCCATCTGTGGCGGCGCGTTGGGGTTCCCCCGACTCCTGCACCCCCGTAATGGCACGAACAGACTCCACCAGCCAGTAGAGTAGAGGGAGTTTATTGCTTCTCCAGGATACAGCACAAGTGTAATCCGGTTACAGGGCAGGCCTAGGATGCCTCAGCCCCCCTTGAGATGGGGGAGACTGGGCCCCTAAATCCCGGCCCCTTGCTTAGCTACTTCCTCCATGATTCCAGACAGAAATGGCCCAACTTCCAGTCCTGCCCCCCAGCCAGGGGCTGCCCTCCGCCTTCCTCCCTTTGTTCCTCTCTCTGGGAGGTAACCAGTAGAACAGTTTACCTACGTGACCCATCAGCTACTCTGCTCACCCACAGCCCAAGCCTAGCAACCAGCAAGATATCAACACTACGTCACAGCTTGGTTGACCCTCCACCTGCTGCCCAGGGAGGTGGAATGCCTATGGTGACCGGTAGGGCCTTACCCCATTCGCCGTCCATGATGGTCAATTTCAGGGCCAGAGGATTGGTCAATTTCACATGGTTGGCTTTTAACCTTGCACTGTCAGGTGTTGTCACCCTGGGGTCCCGACTGAAAAGGAGATTGAAGGGGTCGCAACCTAGTTGTAGGGGGGTCCTGGGATGGCCCCCCCCTCACTGCTGTGCTCCAAAGGCAGCAAGAGCAGGAGGAGCCGAGAGGGAGAGGTGGCTCTGGTCTCCCCCCTGCTGCTGGGTGTGCCCCAGCCAGGGGGTGCTCAGCACCAGTCTCTCTCTGTTCACCAGAGCCCTTTGCAGGGGGGGGACAAGTCCTGGCCTTCCCCTGCCCAGCTGCAGCCAGGAAGCCCCCTTTGAGGTGCTTCTAGGAGCATGGGGCAGGGCTCATTTC